TGGGTTGCTTGGGCATCTCCCGAGAAAAGCTCAAAGAAGTCTATGCGCCCTTCCTCTGAGAAGCTTAGGTTCTGTTGCCAAAGCAGCAGCAAAACCTGAGCAAAGCGAATCTCCAACCCTGAGAGGATACCGGCAAAACAAAGAAGAGGCTCGGACCGTCGCAATCAGCACCTGAACACATGCCCCACCAAAAAACCTACAGCAACAACCGCTGTGAACCACACTGAACCCAGCCTTTGGGGCTTGAACTTGGAGTAGGCGAGTCACTAGGGAGCCCCCCATGGCAACAGTTACGATCAATCCGAACTCTCAGGCCCAACTAGCTGCGTATAGTGCAAACGCCGATCAGGCGCAAATCAAAAGTGAAGAACGGCCGGAAAGAAGGCAAACATTGAAGCAAACAGGCCCGGCTGGCCATCACTATCGCATTCATCTCCAGGATAAGTGAATGAAGGCATGGAAGCCAAAGAGCCTGCCAGCGTTTGAAGGGAAACGCCCCCCCCAGTAATCAAGAGCATGCGTGCGCAAGCAAGCAAGCAAGCTGCCGCATACTTTTGAAGCTCGAAAGCTAGGATCAGCAGCCGCAGAAGATTGTGACCAACCCAGCTTTGCTTGTTCAATCACGGTGGCCCTCGCCGGCGAGGACAAATTAAGCAGCTTTCATCAAAGCTGACTAAATCCCCATAAACTTGAGCTGCAATCCTTCAGCTCACACCCGAAAAGGAAAATGGCCGTGCTATCACTGTGTCATTTGGTAAGCCTCAGTTTCCAATTGTTACCAGGCTTCCCGTACACTAGTATATAGTGACGCCGGCCATGCATGGACAAACTTGAAAAATGTAGATGCCAAAACATGCGCGTAATACAGACTAGAAACAAGTCTTGCTCTTTTCCTTGCTTCTACCTCTCCATGGATCTCCAACTGCTTTCGGTACTCGGCGCCATATGCACAACACTTGCGGCTACGCTTTGCTGCTGCTTGCGCTGCTTCCTGTGTCTCATACTCTTTCTTCTTGCGGCCGTTGCGAGCTGCAACAGGCTGATCTTGACCTTCTGGGACGGCTGTTTTCTCTCCTGCGGTGTGTTCCTTCTCCTGTTCATGCTGCTTGTTTGTTCGCTTTCCTTTACCTTTCCTGGATTCATCCTTCGAAGCATCCTTCTCCTTGCCTTTGCGGACCTTTTCCTCTGCCGTTTCCTTCTCCTCCTTGCCTTTGCAAACCTTTTGGTTGTCCCGTCCATCCTTCCTTCCTTTGGATTTTGACTCCCGAGTACTATTCTCAGGCTCTTTTTTCCCGCCTTCTTGCTCCTTCTTTTCCTGCTTTTTGGCTCGACCCTTTGCCTTTGCCTTTGGCTCCTTGGGTTCTTTAGGCTTTCTACCTTTGCGCTTGGGTTTGCAATCTTCTCCACTGTCCTGTTCCTCCTCTTCCTTCTCCTCATCCTTCTTGTTCTTGTTTTTCTTTGCAGTCATTTTGTTTTGCTCGGTAGGATTGATGTGTGCTGTCCGCTTCATGACTTCAGCAGCTTTGGCCTGCAAGGGTTGCATACATACATGCACGCATGGCACACACGCGCGTATATTTACAGTATAATTAATATATGCATGGCATATTATAGCCAACTGCGATCCATGCTGTTCTCCAAAAACAACAAGCCTGCAGCTCTGAAATGCTGCCAGGACCGGGCTCAGCTGGACCGGCAGCAGCGCCCAGAGAAGGCATCCCCGCATCACTCGGGGGGGGCTGGGTCAGGCAACTCACCCTCAGGCACGGGGTGGTCATGGTTGGGGTCATGCGCTTCAGGTTCCTTAAGAGCTTGAGGCTCGGATTCGGGGGTTTCCTCAGGCAACTTTGGAGCAAAGCCCGGTTCTCCACCATTCTCAAGTGGTCCTTTCTCAGCATCCTCGAGATGAATCACAATAGTGGTGGAAGAAACCTGCTGTTCATTTGGTCCCTGGAAGCTGGCATCATCCGGCTGGTCGGTTTCACCCAACACTAGAGTTTTTTGCGTCAACAGGGAGTGATCCGGATCAACCTCAACCTCAATCCTTTTTTGTTCCGGTTGGGGAAAAGGCTTGATGTCCTCGGGCTGACTGAAGTGGTTTCCCCAAAGCTCATGCGTCGGCAGCGGCAAAGTCTCAGCAAAGTCCATACCTTGGGGACTAAATATATTTAGCATGAACATGCCAGCAAACAAGAGTTCATTTGCATTTGCATGTGCAAACAGGGGGCTTCCATTCTGAAGTATTTCATGCGTCTTCTTCTCCAAGTCCAAAAGCTCTTGTTGTTTTTCCATCAAAGACGTAAGATGCTGGTAGTCCTCTTCCAACTGCTTTAAGAGTTTCACTCGCAATTCCATCTCGTGCGGCTTGGGGATCTTCTCCGCGCTGGACGACGGAGGTTCATCACAACCTGACACATGTGAGCAGAAAAGTCTCCCCCACAATGGTCCCAGGGTCCATCAAGATTGCGCTGAAACTTCGAGTAAACAGCCGAGAAACCTTTCGGCGGAGGCGTTTGAAACGTCAAAGCACGCCGGGGGCCTGAGCCAATGGGAGGAGCATGGATGGATCTTTCAAGCTGCATGTTATATGTTTATACACACTAGAGCTTAAGTACTATAGCAAAAAAAAGACTGGCCTTCCATCGGAACAGTTGCAGGCGAAGCGATCCCCTCCACAGAAGCCGCTGGAGCTTCACCAGGCGGAGGTAAGACAACGGGTTCCTGCAAATTTCCCAGAACCCTAAGAAAACAAACAGTCTGTGTAACACGCAACCTCTAAGTGATTTTAAGTGGACCTGTCAAACATGAAAAGAGAGATGCCGGTCCTCTATTTCTATAGGTTCATCAACTTCAAGTTCCTCTTCTTCTCCGGTTTCAAAAGACTCCTCACCCATTTCTTCCCCGGAGTCTTCCCCTGCAGTCGTAGCAGCCCCCACGGTTGAACTTCTAGAAGACGAGGCTCCATGCTCGGATCCTGGGGCTGAGCTCACGTGGCCATATGGAAGGGAGGTGCATACATACGCACAAGAAAACATCGAAGCAAACCTAAGAGTTCCAGTTAGTGCGAGAATCGCTCTGGAAATGGAACCCCTGCAGCGTCAAACAGAACCTTCGCTCCCCTGGAACGAGGACAGCACCCGCGCCCTGCCCAGCGCTTCCAAGAACTAATGAGCTTGCGGATGTACCAGGCAGTCCGCTTGATGGTTCCACCTTAGCATTGTTCACAGCTAGGATATGGGGCTTCACAACATGTTCCTAGGCACCAGTGCTCACACGTAGATTCGCATGCACACTTAGCCCACCACTGGTGGCAGCTTTCGAGTTGACGGGCCGACACGAATCATACATTCGCCGGACTGCATCTCGTGTCACGTCGATGGAAGGCTTCAAACCTGGGATGGTCATGGATGGTTTTTCAGGAAAAACCTGGAATGGTCATGGGCGGTCTTTCAAGATAAACTCAGCAAACCAACAAAAACAGAGTGCATCTATTCTCAAACAGCCTAGGTACCCAAGTGTTTCATCACTGGAGCTAGCACCGCAGCGTGAGCTTCAGCAGCCTCCTGTGAAACCCCCAACTCAGCGGTCATCAATTTGTATACAGCACTGCGTTGTACCAGGGCTTCGCTCTCCATCCACTCCCTCACAAGGGCCGTAAGATCCACTGGCATGGCGACAGTCTAAGCGAGAATCCAAAAAAAGAAAGATGGAACTGCCAATATTGCATGCGTGTTGGTTTCACATGCACCTGTTGTTTTGAGCACAGCTTGGCTGAGGTAGACCATGCATGGGCATTGTACATTTGCATGAGGTAGCGCTTGTCCTCTCACACAGCAGTTCCAAAAACAAGCACGCCTTCAGTGGCCAGAATGCCAGGAGAGCACCGATACCATGGCCACTGTGGTAGGATGAAGAAGCATTCAAAGACCCATCTAGCCACATACGGGTTTGGCGTATGATTAACCGACCCCCATGAAGAATTAGGTTGGAGGCCATCGCTATTAGGTTGGAAGCCATCGCTAGTAGGTTGGAGGCCAATTCAGTCAGGTCAATTGATTTGTTCCGCTTTGTAGGTGCAGGCCCATGGCCTTTGTTCTCTGACCGCGTGCCTTGCCACTACCAAGGCTTGGAACTAGAGCCACCTGGGCGCACACCTGGCACACATCAAGGGACCTGGCGGGACTCCAGGGAACTTAGGCGATGGGAAGGGCCCTTGTGTATACAAGAAAGACATGAACAGTATCTAATTTCAAAAAGTGCTCCAAACCATCAAAGTCATCAAAAAGCGCTCATTTCATTGGAAAACGCTCAATTGGAGGTAAAGTGCTACCAAAGCACTGTTCGCCAAAAAAAAAAGTAACCAATGGATCTCCAGGAGGATATTGACATTGATAGGTATTGTACCTTGTAGGATACATTATATATATTGCCACCATTTGCGCCAAACCAAGGCCTGGTTCCTTGCCTAGGGTTGACCCTCGAATAAGAATAAACAACGACCTGTCACACGCCAAAACTCGGGTGTTGGACATCATAACTCCCATATAGGACAAATTAACAACAGGTGCTTGCTCAGGTGGGTGAGCATATTGTTTTACACTCCTACTTTTGTTCAACAATATTGGCTACTATCGCATCCAGCTGCTGTGGCTGTATTCATGTATATTCATGTTTATCCATATCCATCCCACAAAAAGTCCAATTGCCATTGTCTTCCTACAGGTCCAGTCTCACCCAGTATATGTTGGTCCTTTACCTCGTTGAGGTGCTTTGTGTGACCTGACCAACTGCACTAAAATGAGGTCTTTGACCTGTAGTTCTTTTTTTGCTTTTGGAACTCAACCCTAGTTACACCAGCTAACAACTGGATCCTAGCACTTGTCACCACAACTCATTCCTGTCCATCAGCTTTGCTCCTATAGGTTGGCAACCTCTTGGCGCGCCTCATCCTTTGGTCCGTCCGACAACCTGCAGCCACCTACGCAGCGTCCACTGCGTCCATGCAGCGTTTGCCGCCGCCGCTGGACACCCACTGCTGGTGCAATGGGAAGACGATTCGACGCTGGGACTGTGTAGAGCGACGCACAGTGCGAACGACGCAAGCCCAGGGCATCCAGTCACCACTCTAGCTGGTAACCGGTGGTTCCAAAGACTAAATACCACGGACATCCACGGACCTATAATCTCTGGTTCCTTATATAGTATATACCGGTAATACCTATAATACCTATAAGACCTATACCTATAATACCGGTGGTATATACCTGGGATCCACTGGGAAGGATATGGGACCCTGGGACCCTAGTACGGGATCGAACGATGTGACAGGCGCCCTGAAGTGGCCGAAAAACCGGCGTTTCAGAGCGTTGAAGAGCTGACTGCAGCCTCTGGGTTTTTGTGGGGTATGGGTCTAACTCAAAGACCAGCTAGGGGCGAATGAGTCAGAACTGTGGTGAGAAACCTTTCAACTCAGCTCCCGTTTTGTGGGTTCCCAGTCCTTGTTGATCCTGTTTGCTTGTGCTTCACATGGTGGCCTGTGGGGCTCCCAGTGGGGTGTTGAGTATTTTTACGGGTCGGGAACAACTTTTTTTACTTGGCCAAGAAGTGGCAGAGATGGTCCTTTTCCGGATGCTGATAATATGTCTATACCAACATACGGGTTGGGAAGGGCCCTGAAAGGTCTCAATTGATGACCTACTATGTGACTTTTATGATGCTTTTTATGATCTTTTTCTGTGTTCATCCTTTTGGACATCAACTCTGCTCACATATGCCCGGGCCGGCCTTGATGAGGCGCTTCGTTTACACCTGAAGAGGTCTGGTCAACCACGAAAGCTGAAAGCTCAAATCTCCAGAAGACCTGACCTGTCCTCATCGACCCTTCTGGGCCCAACTCCACCACCGTCGGACCGAAGTGGGTTTGGACCCGAAGGCTCTGGCGGTCTGCCTGGCCCGCTCCCCCCCACGGCCCGTGGGCACATCCGTACCGATGGTTGGTCGCCATTTGGGGCACCAAGGAAGGGACCTATGTGGATCAACAAACAGTAACCAGGTGCCTGGCAGCGGATGGGTCTTTCCCAAGAATCCAGCACATCCGCAGGCACGTCTCTTCCGCAGCATCCTCACCCTCGTCCTTTGGTCCGTGGCCAGGCATCCTCCCGGGCTGGTGTTCCAACTACACGCTCCGCCGGGACAAAGACCTCCTACGGCTGGGGCAACAGAGCGACTGGCTCCTGCTGCATGCAGGACGGGCGGCTTTATCTCAGTCCACCGACAATTCGGTGGCGATGACGATGGACCGAACTCTCTGCAATCGACGAACGAATCGACGACGAGTCAGGATTTGGGCACGAAGTTCCATGAGTCTGAGTCAAAGGTTGTTTGGTAATTACATCTAATAAGAGTGCATAGTATGGGTTATTGGTTGTAAAGATGTGGGCCAGAAGATGGGATGTGACCTGTTCTTTTTATGGGGGGGTGTCTGGGGGTTCTGGAAAACCTTACGTGCTAGTTAGGTTAGGTCTTGCGTCTCGTGTTCTTCCGCCGTCGCTTGGTTTCACCCGTCAGGCGGCCGAGCGACCATTCCCTTCAAGGGTCGAGCCTGTGCTTCGACCGGCGAATGGGGCGGTGGCGGCCCCGTTTCCCATGAAAGATAGATACCAAGAGAGGTTAAGTGACCGTAAATAGGACCTTACTGGGGTACCCAACTGGGATAGGCTAGTTCGGGTCCTTCAACCTCTGTTGGTACATACAAAAACCATCGGCGCCATGTTTGCTAAGGAAAGCTAGGTCTTGCATGGTTGATAACCTTTCATCACCTTTTTCGGTGGATAACATTTCCTCGAGTATACGATGCAAAAAGGTGAACCTGTATGTTTCGGGGAAACCGAGGGTCAGATACTTGGGGATGGGTCGTGACCATGTTCGCCCGACCAGTCCAATTATGTTTGCAAACGACCGACTCCATGTAGGATGACGCCAGGTCAGTATCCTGGTGTCATGACCTACAGCCATGTCAACCAACCGCAGCCTGAGGAGGGTTTGCAATCCAAATGGAGGAGGGGTTGATTCTTTTTTCTCAAGGGTCTACATTTACATTGTGCTTTGTTGGTGGTTCTTGTTATTTTTTGCAGGCATCATTGTGGGTTCAAACAGATGCAGGAGCCTGATAGATACAAGATGATACAAGACAAACTAGTCAGAGAGACTCCACATCCTGTAGAGTCGAAGATTAGACAATGAAGCGCTGTTTCGGAGGAGGGCATCGATCGATCTGCACCTGCCATCCCCGGGTGGGTGTGTAGCGTTCGATGTGTCTTTGTCTTGGCTTCCAAACCGCAGCCCAAGTGGAGACAGCAAGCGCGTGCCAGTGAGAACAGATGGCTTTGAAGAGACCGGTGATGAACCACAGCTGGATTCGGCGGATCGGATGCTGTTTAGAACAGATTCCTGGATGAATCCCCATACGGACACCGGCGGTATCTTCCTGGAGTCTCCAAAGTACCTAAATGGGACATGACCTCGTGAAAAAAGACATTAAGAAAAACATAAAATAGTCAAACAGAAACATGGTACAATTAGATGGTATACTTAATACCATCTTGTACGTACCCTATGCCCCATTGTCCGAGGCACGGTGCCTATACCCTACGGTCGACTCCTCCGAACTCCGTCTCGTGTGGGGCTGCTGGGATCGAGGTTTCGTCCAAGCTCCGCTCTTCAGGTGGCTTGATGACGCTGCTGGGACCCGATGCTCCGAGCCCCTCGGGCGGAGAAGGGGGGATGGGCCCGGGCCCTTTGGGGAGAAGGGCGGTGGTTGGTTCTTTTTGGGGGAGGGTGCAGAAACCCTAAACCCTAAACCCTAAACACATTATATCTAAACACCAAACAACGCAGTTCTGAACGCAGCAAGCAAAAAATATATATTTTGCGGAGTTGGGTGGCAGAAAGTGCTCTTGGAAGCACCCGTCTATGAAGTGGTGGTTGTGGAAACATTCATGGGACGGGCGTGGCAACTGCAGCGGCGTGGCTGGCGTTTGGTTCGAGATAAGCTGAGGCTTACAAGTGCAAGTCGATGGGCTGCCGCTTCAAAGGGTCCAGCCTCTTGGAGATGGATCAACATGGTAAGTTCATCCGCCTCAAAGAATACAGCCTCAAGTTGACTCTGGTGGACTGATAGATGTGTATGTCGGACGTGGAAGTCTTGGCTTTGGGGACCCTCTAGTCCCACCCACCTGTCTTCCGCAGCAAGAGTATCCTCGTGGTTTCCAACAAGGCTCGCTGTTGCTCAGGGCACTTATGAAAGATATGAACCTCAGCTCTCCGAGCGATCCTGTCGTGAAACCAAAGAGAAGAGGTTCCGAAATCCGCTACTCGACGCTAACACCGTGTTTTTTCCTTCTATTCCTGCTCTACTTCCTCCTTGGACCTTCTCCACCGAAACGCACGCAGGGGGAGAGTCCGGGCCCGGTTCCCAAACCCGATGTGTTGCGCTTCCGTGGCCTGGAGCTTGGAGGGTGGCACCCTCGTCCTTGCTTGGTGGATAGCGGATAGCATGGGTACCAGTCGCCCAGTCTGGGGGAGACTGCGACCGGCGGCCTTCATCGCGACCAGTCCATCGTCCCCTCACTGGGAGGCTACTGGATCGATGGTGCTACTACTGGAGGGATGCAGTGGTCTTGCTTTGTGTCGTGGTCTTGTGGATCTGGGGCTGACTGACAGGTTTTACCGACCTGTTGTTTTCAATCACACTCTGAGATGGCTGGAGTTGGGTTGGAAAATAGCCAAGCTGTTGTTTTTCTATGGCCTCCTGTACTTGTCTTTCTGCCTGAGATGGTGGGCTGGATCTGGGGCGGAATGACCAACCCTTTGTGCGTTCTTTCTTCCATGACTGTCTTTGGGGGCAACGTGGAATCTCACCCAACGAGAAAAACACATCACAGTCAGGACTGGACAGACAAATAATACAGTACGTAGATCAGCCATGCACCCGCACAAACAAAACTCCATGAGGTTGTGTGAGGTTTCAGCTTCCAGTATGGCAGTATGGCTTAAGCATCACAACAGGGGTAGTTGAACAAGAGAGGGAAACGTACGAAAGCATAGCCTAAAATCTGTGGTCTTGGGCTTGATTTGAGCCCCTTAGTACAGCGTCTAACAGCCACCAGGCAAGTTCTACGTTTGGTTGGTTGGTTGGTTGGTCGGTTGGTTGGTTGGTTGGCTGTCCACGTTCCTTCGGCAGTTATGTGGGGAAAAATTCAAGAACTCCTCACACACACAGCACAAGCACATCGAAGATGTCCAGCAATTTGCTCGTGAATCATCAAGAAATCCGGAGATTGACCACCTACAATACCCAAACACTCCATGTATGTCACATTTACCGATCAGTTGGGGTGGTTGACCTGGGCTCTATGGTAAATATGCCAGTCCCATGAGTCGTCGTGTCTGCCGATTCGCCGAGCTGCGTTCGGTTTGAACGCCTTCCGCCTTGCTCACTGAGGTGATGGACTGGCTGATAGCACTCACACGCTTCACCTGGAGGTGGAGGTGACGTAGCTTCCGTCAGCTTCTTTCTTCACTCTTGGGATGGGGAAAGCATGGCTCAGTGGTTTTTTGGTCTACATGGAGAAGGATCTAAATCAGAGTCAGACGCTTTCTTTGCTGCATGGCACCAGCTTTGCGTCAACCATGGGCGTCAACCATGGGCCCTTGGACCCGATCCATCGATCCGAACAGCGCAGCGCTGGCGCCTGGCGCCGGGTGATGTGTTAGGAGTCCTGGTTCCTAGGTGAGTTTTCGGGTCAACGCGAAGATTCATGTTACTTGTTTTCGGTTAACGGATGTTAACAGGTAAACAGGGTCCCAGATCAGTCTCCGGTCAGTCGCTTGCAAGCCCCCGTGGCGCTGTGGTGACGTATGTCACCTCCGTGGAACTGGATGGTCATCGACCCGACCACGTTGACCCGACCTGGATGTTCTCATGAGTCATTTGATGACTTGGAGGCCACTCAGGTCAGTAGATACATACACTTACTACTACACTTACTATATGCTTTGATCATTGGATACTATATTGGAGACATTCATTTCGAAAAGTAAGCAAGAATATGCAAGAATTATCAAAAGCAGCTTTTGTGCCAACTCAGATCAAGTATTTGGTATATTGTGTTTCTTTTTGTATGATTTTGTATGTACTGTGATAATCTCCTTGTGACAGCATTCAATGTTGACGATGGCTCGAATCATGTTTAAGACACTGGATTAGTGGAATTGGATGGGTCGGCTTCCTGAACTACTCAACCAGGCTTTATGTCCTTACAATCCAAGGACGATCTAAGCACTCTCACTCAGACAGTCATGGAAAATGATAGAATCACCCAGATCACCAATGCACTATTCCTCGCAATCTACAGGTATTCACAAGGGTTTGACACGCAGACACGCAGACACCACCTAGTCAGCCTCCTGAAATCTAATAATTTCCCTAAACACTTCGGATGACATCAATGACATCTATCAAAAGAGCATTGGTGCACCGGTGCACCTTCTTTGTGACTGCCCACGTCTTGAATCCCAAACGTCCTACGCCCTCGGGACGTTGGCCATGCCTGGGCAGCCGCCCTTGCACCGCGCCGCAACCGTCCGAGGCCGCGCCGCCGGAGCACGGCATCCTGAAGCGTCCGGCGAGCTCGGAGCTGTGGACCCACTTCGTGGCCGAGGCTCGAGCGCAAGGCGCGCGGTGGACCGCGGTGGACGAAGGAGACGGTGGGACCGCGGCGAGGGAGGCGGCGGCTCCGAGGCGGACAGAGCTGAAAGGCGGCACGAAGGAGTTAGAGCGAAGTGGTTGGAACAGCGAGAACGGGCGAAGTGGTGAGGTGTTGGAACAGCGAGGGATTGAAGAAGACGGTCGTTCGGTGAACGTCTTTCGGGGGTGAAACAAAGGTTCCTTCTAGATGTGGAAGTGCTATTTTTTCCCATGTGTGTTTTCCTATCATTTTGTTGTTTGGTACATTTGGGACTGGGTTTATCATGGGTTTTATCTTGCTTCATCAATAGCTGCAGCATTTCGCTTCCAGCTGACCAGGTCGTCCGCCACAGAAGCTTTGGCTGCTTTATGCTTGTGCAGTTGAGAGCGATCCGAGCCAAAAGACGTCCGCGCAGCTGTGGAGTCTGTGGCGCCGCGTCAGTGTTCAGGTGATACTGAGGAATAGGGAATGCCAATGGGATACCTTAATTGAGAGGATCCCAGTTTCGAGTTGCTGACTTACTTGTTTTTTGGGGGTTAAGATGTTTTAGGAACCAGGGACTAGGGACCCTCGTTCGGATTGTTTCAGTCGAACTGGAAGTACTGGTTGCCAGCTATAGTGGACGGCCACATATATACATGCATGCAAGTATATAATTCAACCAGGGATGCCCGTCAGTTGCTGGATGTATGACCGCTTTCCCACGTTTCCCTGACATGGCTTGGTAGGCCACAACAGCTTTGTCCGGATCAATTTGAGATCCGAGAACGGGTCAAAGCGCTGAGTGATGGTCTAATATAATATAATCTTTGCTTCGCATTGACCGATGTTTGCCTCCCTCAGTTTTGCATAGCCTTTTCAACATATATTCGGGTCTCTGGAATTGGTTCACAGCGTGGACTCTTCGCATTCCACACGATCACAGCGGAACGGGAACTGGGCGAACGACTAATGTAGTCCCTTGATTTGTAAACCCCCTCCCCCCCCCTCATCAACCAAGGCCTCCAAAATAATGTATAAGAAAATCAATCAATTGATAATTAAATAACCAATCCTTAGCTAGCTACCTATGGAGCTACTCTGGCAATATTAAAATAAAAGGAATCAAGAAAACCTAACTTTGAAGACATCTGGAATATTAATTACAATGAAAGGGAATGAATCAATGGAAATAGAACTAACTGTTTAAATTTCAATGGAAATCTGAATCCAAAGACCTGCAATTTCAATGGTAAGTAAAGCAAATCAAAAGGCAAAGAAAAGGAATAAAGATTTAAAGCCTCAAATCTCTAGACATTATTCTAGGGGCTCCCCCTAAATAATGTCAGAAAGCTGCTTGCCGGCCCCTTTGCTTGAATGATTTGTTTTGTTGTTCAATACTTTTGAATAAGGGATTTTATAAAGAACGTGCGCGCTGACTTTTGGAAACTTTTGGAAAGCTTCAAAACTAAAGAGCTTAGGCAAAGTAAATAAGGAATAGAGGGTGAGTAAAGCAAATCAAAAGGCATAGAAAAGGAATAAAGATTTAAAGCCTCAAATCTCTAGACATTATTCTAGGGGCCCTCCCTAAAAAAATGTCAGAAAGCTGCTTGCTGGACTACCCCCTTTGCTTGAATGATTTTTTTTGTTTTTCAATACTTTTGAATAAGGGATTTTATAAAGAAAGTGCGCACTGACTTTTGGAAACTTTTGGAAAGCTTCAAAACTAAAGAGCTTAGGAAAAGTTAATAAGGAATAGAGGGTGAGTAAAGCAAATCAACAGGGAAAAAGTAAACTATAACAACAAAAAATATTCCACTACAACTACCCCTCCCAAAAAAAATACATTATTCTAGGGGCCTTTATAAATCAGTGCAGGGAAAAAAAAGACCTTATTCTAGGGGGGTTTATAAATCTGAGGGCCACATTAAAAGGAGCTGATGTGTTCCTTCTTATCTCCAAGAGCCTTAAACTCATATCTGTCTACCAGGACCCGATTTGGGGGGTTCCCCTTTTACTTAACCCATACTTTATAACTGAATGGTTCTTCTATGCCGGATCTTAACAGAGGAGCCCGAAATCCTGTGGCCAAACTGCCGGTGCTGGCTCGTGCTGCGCCCACTCCCAACCTCCACCGGCCTCCGGCACCTCCAGGGAGATGTGGTCGGAGTGCGGCGACGCAGCGGCGAATGGGTGGAGCTGATGCAGGCGACGATGGGACGGCCCCGATCATGTCGATGATGTGGATGTTTGTGATTGCTGATTGTTCTCCCAGCTGAAATCTGGGTGAATTGTGAAGAAGTCCGGTATACCTCTTTTTCGACTCCCAGCTTTGATTCTGAGGAATCTTTTTCATTTAGGGTCCCAGCTTTCTTAAACCCGGAAGACCTGCACATCCGGTCCGGGTTTCCTCGGGTGCGGTCCACTACGATTTCTTTGGGAACGTTGAGAGTGCATATACATCAGAAGCTGATGAATTGGCTACTGTAAATACCGCGGTTACCGCGTCACGGAATTTTCAACTCATAGTTGCATAATGTTTCATAGTTCATTGCACCAGTAGATCTTCAGCAGTATAACTGTATAACCTTATCCAACAAAGTCCGGGCCACCTGCCCCGTGTCCACTTGAGGTCTCCAATTCGCCAACAGAACTTGAGGGAGATCAAGAACCAAAGAGCATTTCCGCCAATTCCTAGTTGAGCTTCACTTATAGCCGAAAAGCCAAGCATTTCAGGACATGAAACATGCTACTTAAGTGCCCCAGATATGACATTCCGTCCACTACAAACTCCAAGGTTTGGTGTTTGGGTCTTTGACCTTGCTCAGTTGGAAAGAGTAGGATATAGCATACTCAGACGCTCCAAACAGCTTTTGGTACCTGAAAAAACCTAGGGATTGGTTCCGCGTGTCCTGCAACGGACTTTTTCTGCTCCAAAAAAGGGCTCCGGTAAAGTATGCGATCCGACATGGTACACACTCGATTTGTGCACCGAAGCCTAGCAAACTTGGTACACTTCTCATGTACCTCAAACCTCAATTGGTGCACCTGCACTCCCCCTCGAGCGCTTCGGTCGAAAGAGGTGCCACCAAATTTTCAAAAAGCTTCCGCCACGCTCAAGCCCTTCATCTCCTTCACGGAGTTCTGAACAAAGTATACCCCCACCAGGTGTCTAGATGACACCCTTTCCTCCCATTTCGCTCATCCACTAGGATCACCTTCCTCTTCGCGACCGTAGGCCATGCCACCGTCATTCTCCACAGTCCCCATTCTTCCTCCAAGAGGGTCTTGGACTCGAAGTCAAACAGCTTCTTTCGATCCTGGTAGTGCACCCTGATGGCAATCTTCCGGCCCCCATCGTGGTCAACCAGGTGCTCCCAGGAGTCTTTTGCGGCTGTGCGCCTCGGTGGGGTGGAGATGATCTTCAGGACAGCCTCATTGATGAAGCCCTTCTGAAAGCCGGGTGTCCTGAGGTAGTCCCACATTTCCTCTTCGTGGTACCACTTCCCCAACACGATGCCCTTCTCCACCGTGGTGACCAGCCTCAACGGTTCCACCCTGGGCAATCTCCCTTGACGATTCTCCTCTGGTGGTGCTCCCCCTTCCTGAGGCTGTTCTCCATTCGTGTCACTCCCTCGAGCTTCAGTGTCGATGTGTCGCGGGGGTCCTCGGCCATCTCCTGGGTCCCTTACGATGAAGTGTACCCCCTCAGAGTCCATCATCACCCACGTGCCCCCATGATCACGTCGGGGTCCTCGTCGAACCATAGATCGGTCCCAGGCATTCATCCCCAGACCAAGGTTCGCCCTGCGCCTCTCCTCCGCCTCAGCATCATAGGCTCCTCGACACCATAGTTCTGACTCGTGTACTCGAGGTTCAGCAGGAGGTCCATGGTGTCCCTGAGATAGTCCCGACCCTTCAACTTCATCGGTCTGGGTGCTTCGGTCCTCTGCGGCTCCTCCTCTTCTCCCTCCTTGGACTCTCAAAGCTCGGACTGAGATCCGACTGACTGGATTTCGAGTGCCCATTTCCTGTCGTTGGTAAAGGGGATCATCAGGCTCTGCCCACGGGTACATCTCCTCGTGTCCTGAATAGCCGAACCCTCTCGAGCCTCGGACAGTCTCTGTCAAGTCCTCGACACTGTTGACCCCAACCTCCATGATCTTCTCGATCACCAGCTGGGCCACCCGATCACCCTTGTAGATGAAGAGGTCCTCGTCGCTCCAGTTCCGCAGCAGCACCTTCACTTCCCCTCGGAAGTCCCTGTCGATGACTCCGGCTCCGGTCTCAATTCCCCGGATGGCCAAACTCGACCTCGGAGCCACTCGCCCATAGGTCCCTGGTGGAAGTTCAATCGCCAAGCCAGTCTTCACCAGGACACTATCACCTGATGGAACCATGGTCTCAATGATCGAGTGGAGATCCAAACCGGCTGCCTGCTCTGACCCGCGGACTGGTAGTCGTGCATCTGGATGAAGTAGCTTCACCCGGAGCTCCTCCTTCGGTGTCATCCAGCGCTTGACACCCGCAGCACCCACTCTGAACAGAATGTCTCCGATAATCGCAATCGCTGCTGTGAGGAGAACCAAGATCCACCACTCGCTGCCTCCTCCATCAGGTTGGGTGTCGCTGGCCTCGACCCGAGTAATCATGCTCGTCGCCGCGATCAGCAGCCCAAGCCCCCTGGCGAACCTCGGGTCAGGACTCTTCCTTCCCATCTCCAGCCTCTTGACCTCCATCTTATCCACCACATGGACCCTTTCCAATCCCAAGGTGTCCTTGAAGTTCTTGAGGCGCTGGCCCGTCAGCTGCTTCGTCATTCCATCCGCCACTAGCTCGACACCGGCCACGTGTCTCAAAGAGACTTCTCTCGACCTAAGGGCCTCTGTCAATCCAGCGGCTCGGATTCTCAGGTGCTGTGTCCTCCACGATGAGGTGGTGCCTGCAGCAATCGCTATGGCCGCCGTGGAGTCAGAGTGCATCCTCATCTTCACCTTTCTCTCAAGCACTGCCTCAACCAGAGCTCCCGCCGAGCGGATGGTCACCAGGCCCTCCAGCATCGCCATCAGCTCAGCCTCTGCCGTTGAAAGGGTGACAAATGCCTGCCTCGTCGTATGCCACGCTATCGGAGTTCCTCCATAGCACACAACCACGCCGGTCAGGCTCTTGAGGTCAGATGAGGCGTACGAGGCGTCCGAGTAGACCTCAATGTCCCCCAGCACCTCCTCCACTGCATCCCGTCCTCCCTCGCTTCCCCGGATCACCAATCCTTCATCCCGGGTCTCTCGAAGATACGCTCGAACTTGAGCTCCAATGGCGATCACCCCTTTAGGCCTCTTGGTCGCCCATTGGCACATGAGGCTCACTGCCAGGCAAATGTCTGGGCGTGTTCTTCCGGCGACCCAAAGCAGCTCTCCAGTCTCCTTCTGGGCTCTCGTCACGTCGATCGCCAGGGGTGGATCCTCCTCCTCGGGCGTCTTGATGTT